CTTATAAATCAACATGTGGTATTAAAACCATCACACTTTGAAATAAGCACATATGCTCTTTTGAAAAAAGAGATTTCATATCAGAGTTATGAACCCCACTTCTTTGAAATATAGACAGATGTAACACTCCTCAAACAAACCAAAGCAAGCCATGATTTAGAACAAACTTGTGTCACCATATTCCTTCTACATAGTATATTAATAAAGTCCTTCTATGACTCATAATATAACAAGGCTGTCCATATCAGCACTGCTGACATTTATGGTGTAATATTTTTGGTTTGGTGTTGAGCAACATTTACAGGAACCAAAAAGTTTAACTTTTTTTTTCTCCTAATGATAATGATAACAACCAGCTCATCAGCTTTCCCCCTGTTTCTGCTTATGTTAATTACAGTGGAAAGAATCAAAGAATTAAGATAAAATTTTTGGTTTAAGAGCTGTTGAATTTTTGTCAGCTTCAGGGTTGGCTGACAAAATTGGGTCACTGACTACACATATATAGGCAGTCATGTTATCAGATTTAATGTAGTTATTTACTAAATATAGCATTTATGGTCAAAATTGGGTGAAAAATGAACAAATTCTGACCATTCAAATTCCAGTAAGAATTCAGTAGATCTGACTGGATTTTAAGTAATCAACCTGATGCATTATTAGTCCAGATTAAAATGGGCGCCTTCACATCGGAATCCTAGAGAAAATATAGAGTTCGGATGATTCACAAAGCACCAGTTTTAACAAAATGTGGAGCCAAATGTATCAGGTAGGATGCACATTTCCAAATGAACATTCATTTGCTTTTATGCAGTTGATTCGATACTATGAAGAACTGCATGCCCGCCAGCAGCGCTAATAGTCAGCAGGAAAATAGTTAAAAAATCCTTGGTGGTATGAGGGTTAATTATGTGGTGGCTTTATATTCCTTGCTAGCCAACCCCCACATTCAATAGTTAAAATATAAAAAGAAATAACTAAATAAGACCTATGAAGGTCAATAGGTCCCCTGTATTACTGCTAGGGAGTTTTTATTTTACAGGAATTAGTTTTATTGGCTCCCCCCTCATTATTTTTAAGGTGAGGGGAGGTAGGTAGTGTCATTTTTGTAATGAGGATGGCTAGGGGAGTGGAGTCACACCACTATCTGAGGGGGTGGACAATAACATAGCCACCCAATAGTTTAATTAGTTAGATCCCCTACCCACTGCCATTGGGTGGAGGCTGGGATGATGGACAATGGTTCCTCTCTCCTGAATTTATTAATTATTAGGGCCTTAACTGCCGCAAATGGTGGGGTGGACATTGGGTCCTACTCCTGAATATTTTTTATAGGCCCCCTCTGTCAACCCCCCTAGATCAGGCCGTGTCAGACAGGTTCACTGTAACATTAATTAAATTAAACCAATTACTAAATTAAATGCCACAATATTATAAATAAAATACAACCAAATGAATTAAACCATTATGTATCACAGCTGTAAGTTATGTATTTAATGTAAAATGTATGTGTATTAGGCAGTGTGCATGTATGGGTGTATGTATTAGGCAGTGTGTGTGTGTGTGTATGTGTAGATATATGTATTGGGCAGTATCTGTGTATAGATGTATGTATTGGGCAATATGTGTGCATAGATGTATGTATTAAGCAGTGTGCGTATATGAGTATGTATTAGGCAATATGTGTGCATACCTGTATGTATTGGTCAGTATGTGTGTATGAATGTATGTATTAGTCAGTGTGCGTATATAGGTGTGTATGTATTGGGCAATATAGTTGCAGGAGCAGAGCAAGCAGAGCGGAGGCAGAGCAGAGTAAGTAGAGAGAAGCAGAGCAAGTAGAGATGAGCAGAGCAAGTAAAGGGGAGCAGAGCAAGAGCAGAGCATGCAAAGAGGAGCCGAGCGGAGCATGCAGAGGGGAGCGGAGCAAAGCATGCAGAGGGGAGCGGAGCAAAGCATGCAGAGGGGAGCGGAGCAAAGCATGCAGAGGGGAGCAGAGCAAGTAGAGAGGAGCAGAGGAGGCAGAGAGGAGGCAGAGAGGAGCAGGTATTGAGGCCAGCGGCCTGTGCCACATCTAGGTTCTGAGAAAAGTGAATTGATTGCAGTGATTACAGTAAGTGGTGTGAATGTGACAAAAGGGACTTACCCTTGATTGCAGACAGTAAGTGGTATGACAGTGACACTTACTCCTGAGATTGCAGACAGTGGTGTGACAGTGTCACCTTACTTACCAGAGATTGCAGACAGTTTGCAGTGCGGCCCCACATAAGGTGTGAAACCTTACCTACCTGAGAGTGCAATTTGCAGAGGGACTGAGTGAGCGGAGCAGACACTCCAGACGGTGGCATTACTACTGTAAGTAATGTGAACTTTAATTGAAACTTTTGAGTAAATGATATGTATGTACCCAGGATTACATATTGTGAGCATGAGAATGAAACAAGTAATTTTAGTTTGTGTTGGTATAGTATAAATAAGATTAAAAAAGGATACAAAGGCGCTTTAAATTGTAAACACTAGTGCAGCTAGAATTACCCAAATGTAGTGTCACCGAATACACTTACAAAAGTAATAAAATAAAGAAAAAAAAGTGATTATCGCACACGAAATAAAATAAATATTACCTTACATAAAATAATGTCTCAGGTAATCGTACACATTAGGTTCTTGTAACCTATATACAGGTAAATAAAACATACATAGTGTAACCTGTATATATAAAATGACAAAGTGAGGAATAGTTTTAGTCACACTCACAATTTCCAGAGCCTTTTAAAAGTTGGCTCTAAACTTATAGCGCTTCTCGTCTCCTCCTTGAGACATATAATGCTGGTACATCAAATGTATCCACAGGAACCTGGAACTGATGAATTAGCAGCAAACTCCAAAGTTAATAAGGCGATATTTTATTATAACAAATGTGTATATATATATATATATATATATATATACATATATACACACACACACACACACACAGAAAGTTTAGTAATAAAAGCACAACGCGTTTCAACCATACATATGTCTCTCTCAAGTGTATCTGGTTTCACTCTGAACTCAAAGATTCTTATATACCAGAGGGTTACAATTAGTAAAAAGGATCATTTTCAACATATGTGACAAAAATCCCACCCACTCCCATATATGGTCATAGCCAGAAGTGTCACGCCAACCAAAATATGGCCGCACCTCCGGCTATAGACTAATCCCCCCAGACCTCCCCAACATGTCCGCCGTATTTCTCATTGATATTCCACATTGTTCATCCAATAAAGTTCCATTTGAAGTGTCATGTCCTCTAGCTCCGCCCATTTTCATTCCGGCGCGTCACTTCCTGTAACGTGTAAATTCCAGTCCATGTAGGTCACGTGATCGGCACTCAGAGTGTCCGCTAGAGATAGGGCAAAATGCCCTTAGTTCATCATATTTTTACTTCGAATATAGCAAGAGAGGGGATAATAAGATATAAAAGAAACGTTACTGAATATCATAATCACAGCAAGATATTCCATGCTTATAAAAGTAAAAATATTGTATAATATTCTAATATAGATATTTAACATAGAGAGGGTTTGGAGGATATAAAGGGGTGGATTGAAGCGGACCAATATCCCTAAGGGACAATTTCTAAGATTACGTAGAAATTGCACGAATGCACACGATTTTTCCAACCAAGCTGAACTTTTGAAAAAATAGTTTATGCAAATCTAGCGGACACTCTGAGTGCCGATCTACATGGACTGGAATTTTCACGTCACAGGAAGTGATGCGCTGGAATGAAAATGGGCGGAGCTAGAGGACATGACACTTGAAATGGAACTTTATTGGATGAACAATGTGGAATATCAATGAGAAATACGGCGGACATGTTGGGGAGGTCTGGGGGGATTAGTCTATAGCCGGAGGTGCGGCCATATTTTGGTTGGCGTGACACTTCTGGCTATGACCATATATGGGAGTGGGTGGGATTTTTGTCACATATGTTGAAAATTATCCTTTTTACTAATTGTTACCCTCTGGTATATAAGGATCTTTGAGTTTAGAGTGAAACCAGATGCACTTGAGAAATACCTATGTATGGTTGAAATGCGTTGTGCTTTTATTACTAAACTTTCTATATATATATATATATATATATATATATATTATATATATATATATATATATATATATATATATATATATACACACACACACACACACACACATATATACATATATATATATATATATACACACACACACACACACACACACAAACACATTTTTTTATTTTTAAACATTTGTTATAATAAAATATCTCCTTATTAACTTTGGAGTTTGCTGCTAAATTATCAGTTCCAGGTTCCTGTGGATATATTTGATGTACCAGCATTATATGTCTCAAGGAGGAGACGAGAAGCGCTATAAGTTTAGAGCCAACTTTTAAAAGGCTCTGGAAATTGTGAGTGTGACTAAAACTATTCCTCACTTTATCATTTTATATATACAGGTTACACTATGTATGTTTTATTTACCTGTATATAGGTTACAAGAACAACCTAATGTGTACGATTACCTGAGACATTATTTTATGTAAGGTAATATTTATTTTATTTCGTGTGCGCTAATCACCTTTTTTTTCTTTATTTTGTGTTGGTATAGTACTTACCAACTATAGGTCAGGGCACAAACTTTAGTGCCAATCATTTTTAGTTGTTCATGGAAGTAGAGCTAAATCTGCTCTTCTTACAGGACAAGTTCATTTGACTTAGCCTTTCAAAATACAACTGTCACTTAAAAATGGCTATGCTGTGAGTGTAGAGAATACACTTAAATAAGTGACCATTTTCTATGTTTGTGAAATATTTATATAAAAATGTTAAAAAAATGTAATAAAAAAACCCAAACTTTAGTTTGTAACCATTCTGGCATCATGAGATATTACAATGGCATATGTAAAGCAGATAGACTATAGCATATTTAACGAGGTTGCTGGAAATCTGGATTTTGCTCACTTTTAAATGGTGTTTGTGTGTGTATGTATATATATATATATATATATATATATATATATATATATACACACACACACACGCACACACACACACACGCGCGCGGTTTATAATTGCCCCCCCCCTACTTTTGTCCCTGGCCCCCTGCATGCCCGCCCGCCCACCCCCCAAATATGAATGCTGGAGATGCCTCTGACTCCTTGTACACTCAACATAGGTAAGGGCAGGGGGTAGACTGATCTGTCTACCCCCATTACTTATTTTAAAGTCCCCGACCCGATGCCCTTGGGTAAGGTCTTGGGGTGGGTACGTCTCCCACGTTATTTAACAGGGTCCATCCTCAATGACTATCCAGTCACTAGTTCTAAAAGTTAAGTAGACATGCCCCAACTTGCTGCATGTCAGGTGGGTGCTTAGGGAGGTGAAATATATCCCTTATAGTAATATAGGGGGTCTGACCATCCACTTCATAATTAAACAGTTGATTTTTTGTTTTGTTTTTTAAACTATTTTCCTATGTGAGGCTAGTGCCCCCAGTAGTGCCATAGTTTGTTTTTTTTTTTAATTTTTATATGGGCCCAGACTTGAAGCTGTGGGATGTCGTTTTGTCTGAAATCTGAACATTGTTAAATATAGTGAGCAATATCTGGATTTTGCAGCATGAATGGCTCTATAGGCATCGGACTGTTCAGTATGGGGATGTACAGCGCTACGGAATGTGATGGTGCTATATAAAAAATAAAATAATAATAATAATAATAATAATAATAATAATAATAATAATAATTTGGACTTCAGTAAATAACCCAGTTAGAGTGTTTGGAGTTAACATAAATAAAGACACCAATAATAGGTAACTAGGAAAGCTGAATAAGTGTTACTAACCAATCAGTCGGCATAATCAATAAACGTGTTAGAGGTTGGTTAGTATGGCAGTAGAGAGAGAATGGCCAAATAAGCCAGGTCAGGATCAACAAGGAAACATAGCCAAATGCAATAACACAAGCTATAGAAACTCTCCAGATAGAATATATTTTTATGATGCCAACAAATTCTGAAACTCCTGATAAAGTGCAGTTTAAAAAACAAAAACAAAAAAAAAAACACACTAAAAATTGATACGGGAATGACAGTGGTAAGAAAAATATATACAATTAATGGATCTAATGGTTAAACAAATATTGTTATGGCCAACACCCCATATTAAAGTCATATAACATTCTTTTCACAGTCTTTTCATATGTTATGTTTATTCTCACATTCATCATTTAACTATTCTAGTAAACATATTCTCAAGAGTTAAAAGTATTGTCAGAATAAACTTATTATTACACAATTAAATATATTTTAAGGAATCTGTATACATTGGATTCAGTCTTGAAATGATCTGTTAAATTACATGAAAAAAAAAGATTGCTAAAAACAAAAATACAAAAGAAAGCTTAAGCTGGATCCATGGAATTCAGAGATCACATAGCAGAATAATTTAAACTGGCTCCCTTTGTTAAGACATTTCACAGCTAAACTGAAAAATAACACATGCAGCAGATCATGCACTGCACATAAGGTTGAAAGGAGTTCAATATCATCATGCTGTTACAGAACATTTTGTAAACATTCAAAGAGTACATAAGCTCATGATTTTACTTTGAAGTCTTCAACAAGGTTTACAATCTTATTTATAGGTATAAAAAAAAAACCATACCAATATAACAGAGCAATTTTACAAAATGTGGTTTGTTCAAGAAAAGTGGGTTAGTTAATTGGTGCAAGCATTTCACAGTTACTCACTAGACTCCAAATTGTAACGCATTTAAATCTGAAACGATTGAATGAAAAAAAAATAAAAAAAATATTCCTACTGAGATCTTTTAGCCTGAATTTTGTAATTCAGATTTTAACTTGCTAATATTTGGAGTTTAATGAATAACACAGCTTTGCTAAATGTAACTAGGGTTAATCCAGCCTCTAATGGCTGTCTCACTGAAGGGCCGCTAAAGGCGCTTCCGCCCTTCTCACTGTGAAAATCACAGTGAGAAGATCCTGGACGTCCATAGGAAAGCACTGAGAAATGCGCTGGCAGAAGGAGGAGAGTTCCCCTGGAGCCCGGCGCTGGTGAAAGGTAAGTGTTTAAGCCCTTAAGGACTGAGCCAAATGTACACGTTGTGATCAAAACAAGACAAACAAAAACTTGAATTTGCGCTAAATGTCTGTTCAGGCGTAATTCACCTCTTTCATATTATGTGCACCCACACTTATTAATCATTTATTCAGGGGAAACAGGGCTTCATTTAACATCAAATATTTAGGTATTAAACAATTTAATATGAATAAAATATTTAAAAAATGGGCGTAAATAAGAATTTTAAAGAATTTTTTAGTTCTACGTGACATTCTAACTGTGAATGTCATAATACGGTTTACTTTTACTGAAATAAAATACACATTTGTATTCAGTGATGTCTCACGTGTAAAACAGTACACCCTATTTACAGGTTTTATGGTGTTTTGGGAAGTTACAGGGTCAAATATAGCGTGTTACATTTTTCAATTTTTTCACTTTGAAATTCGCCATATTGGTTACGTTCCTTTTGAGACCATATGGTAGCCCAGGAATAAGAATTACCCCCATGATGGCAACCCAAGGTATTGCAAATGGGGTGTGTCCAGTATTTTTTAGTAGCCCCTTAGTCACAAACACTGGCTATGCCGTCCATGTGATCGTGAGGTCCTCACAAGGACCTCGTGATCACATGGCCCAAAGTGGCCGAAGAGGATGGAGGGGGACTCCCTGGGCTCCAAGGTAAGTCCCCATAACAGATCGCCGGCGACCGGGTAGGTAGAAAGGACGGTTAGGGCATTCTATGCCGCTCCCCAGCGTTTAGAGCCGGTTCCCTAAGGATGGCATAGAACACCCGCTGTCCTTAAGGGGTTAAACCCTTCAGCCCAGTGGGAGTGGGACCCTGAGGGTGGGACCTAAAGACCCATGAAAACGAGTTTGTTTTCCTAACTCTATAGTGGTCCTTTAACTCTATCCTTCTGAGATAGATAAGGTGAGTACCATTAAATTGGGTAATAGTAACAACCCCTGTATGCTGGGCAAAAGTAACATCTCCAGTGCATACTTGGAAGCCAGAGTAATCTACATGTACCATTCCTGGTTAAATACTTTGTTATTATTAATATATGTTCTGGGAACAATTGATATGATCCTTATAATGGAGAAAATAATGTACACAATGCTGGCAATTCTACATAAATATTGTGATTGAGTAATTGTTTGGCCTGTGATGGCTGGATGGGTGTTCAGTGATCATCTGGATGTTAATGTAAGTTGGGAACATAATACAATGTAGTAATGCAGAGGCTGAACACATTTATTTCTATGTTTAACATTGTGTGTGTTATTAAAAACCAATGCAGAAGAAAACGTGCCAGAACAAACTCTGATATTGTTTTTACTACAAGTGGACACCTTCAGTGTTATTGTTTTCATAAAACCTTTGGTGCTTCAGGTCTTGTGTCCCATATTTTGCTGTTTACACACGTTGCTGCCAGTTACAAAACTCTTTTATGATTAACTTGTGCGGCTCTGTGGAAGGGGATTATAGAGGTTGCAGTTGAACAATAGCTGAGAGACTATGTTTGCATGTTAAATAGAAAAGCAAATTGTTACAATTTCACAATCTTTACATTCTAATTATTAAATTAGTAGCTTTTTATGCCATCAAAATCTTTACCAAGGTGGTTTTGTTGATTAAAATAAATAAAAGCCCAATGAATCACATTTAGTGAAAACATAGTTTTCATAACTTGCATGTTAAAGTAGAATAAAATAATCAGTGTATAGATCACAGATCACTAAAATCTGAAATTATTATTAGTGGATGATTAATGCTTTAGACCAAAAGTCTATATATATATATATAAAAAAAAATAAAAAATAAATACCCTGATCCTATTAAAAAAATGCGCTTAATAGACTTGTGCACAGTAGAAAAATACATTTCAGTCAAACCACTTTGTCCAAAATTTCAGGATGGCAGAATGTTGTACATGTGGCTGTTTCGCTCCATTTGGCAGCTGAATCAAAAGGGCCCGAAAATGATCCAACCAATGCAAACATGTGCATTTTCCCACCAATTGGTTCAGGATCAAGTGAAAAAAGTAACCAACAAAGGAAAAAAAATGAATCTAAACAAAACAAAAAACTCTATTTTTATTTTTCTGCTCTTTTCTGCACTATCCTGTGGTCTAAGCCTGTGTGGCACAACAAAGCAACTAGTCAAATGGGAGAAGAAAGAAACTGATGTTCAAAATGAGCAAAGCATTTTAAAATTCCATTAGGCTTGTCAGGAAGAGCAGAATTATTAAGAAACTACTGTGGTACGCTGCAGAAGTGTCCAAAATACAAAAAAATATATAAATATAAAAAAAAATTAAAAAAAAAAAAAAAAAAACAGAGTGAGGAAGACAGACAGATCTATAAGGTTAGGCAGAAAGAGGCAAATGAATTTAAAAGAGCCTCCAAAGCACACACAGAAGAGAGAATAGCACAGTCAGAAAAAAAAAAAAGGGATAAAACATTTTTTAGATACATAAATGAGAAAGGGACAGTAAAACAAGAATTGGATAGATTAAAAACAAAAGAAGGAAGGTATGTAGAAGAGAATAAAGGTCTAGCTTGACTGCCTCATTGAATATTTTTGTTCAGTATTTACAGATGAAAATGAAGGAGAGGGACTTTAGTTAAGAAAAAGGACAAATGGGTCATTTATTACACGTGAGTTTACAGAGGAAGAGGTTCTATTTCAACTGACAAAAGTAAATACAAATAAGTCGATGAGACCTGATGGGATAGACCCAAAGTTATTAAAATAAGTTAGTGATGTACTAGCAAAACCATGGATGGATTTATTTAACCAATCATTGTTAACAGGAGTAGTCCCTGAAGATTGAAAATTAGAGAATGTTGTGCCCATTCACAAGAAAGGTAGTATGGAGGAGTCGGACAATTATAGGCCAGTAAGCCTTACTTCAGTAGTGGGGAAAGAAATGAAAACCATGTTAAAGGATAGGATTGTTGAACATCTAAAAA